GGACCCTGGGGAAGCTAGACTAGACAATAGAGTAAAACCTTCCCTAAGAAATAAGTCAGTAAAAAAAATTAGAAAGGCTAAACAAAAAAGTTAAAGAAAATATGAAGAACCTTAGTTTATTCCTGTGTGTTGGGGGTTATTTGTTGGGAAGCTGATTTTGTATATTAATTGTCATAGGAAGAAAACCTCAATAGACGTATTGGATCAAAAGTCAGAAAGCCTGGATTTGAATTCTGGTTTTTGCCATGAAGGCACTTGGCTTCCAATGGCCACACCACCCCCTCGGATAAAATATGCACAGTAAATTGAATGGTTAACCAAAAATTCCAGAACTCTTCATTGCAACTGCACACCTAATTCATCAAACAAAAGACCTAAGATAAATCAAGTCTTGTCACATTTTGCAATATAAGAGACTTCTAAGGTTTGAAAACACACAGAATGCAGTCAGGTGTGGTGGCTCATGACTTAAATCTCAGCTCTAGGGACACCAAGGACATGAAGTGTGTGTGTCATGGGCTGGGCCAACTTGGGTTACATAGGAGGACAACTCTGTCTAAAATCAAACCAAACCCATAACCAAATGAGCCTAAATAACCATGTGAAACTAAAGTAGCTGAAAAATACATCAGAAAGTCAGATAAAGAAGCTGGCATGGTGCTTGGGGGAAGAGACAGTGGGATCTCTGTGAGTTCCAGGCCCTGTGTGGTCTACCCAGTGGGTTCCAGCCTGCCAGGGCTACAGAGTTAGATCCTGTCTCAAACCAAAACCAAAACCAAAACCAAAACCACTAACAAAAATTAGAAGGAAAACAAGGTGTTCTTACTACAGATCTCTGATAAGGGCTGGGGAGGGGGCGGGGGTTGTTATTTATTTTTATGTTTTTGTTTTCGTGTATCTTTCCCTTTTATTGAAAATAGGTTTCTCTTCTCATACAATGTATCCTGATTTTACCTTTCCCTTTCTCCTCCTTCCTGTGTCCCTGCCATCTGGATCTATCCCCTTTCTGTTTCTTAGGCTTCTAAGAGAAATCAACAAAATGCAACAAAATAAAATATAATAAGATAAAAATAAAACCCATTACATCAAAGTCGGACAAGGCAAGCCAAGTGAAGGAAAGGAGCCCAAGAGAAGGAGTCTCATGAAAACACTAAACTGAAAGCTGTAATATATACACAGAGGTCTCGGTACAGGAAGCTTCAGTATTTATAAAGTGACTCATAATGTGTAACCTTCTGAATGTGAAAGCTTTGATTTCTGGGAAAGGAATTTCAGCTCTTAAGACTAAAGTCATTTTAACTCACTAGTGAGACATTGGTCTACAGTTCTCCTTCCTGGAATAAAACATGCTGACTAATCATAAAACTTCCAACTCGCCCTCAGCGAGGCAATCACTAGGATGTGTGCAAGAGCCAGCACAAGCTCACTTTGACTTACAGCTGACCATCTGCAGCCAAAGGTCACCCAAGGCCTGGGTGCTTCTTCCCAGCTCCCAGAAGAACCGACTGCTTAAGGTTCCGTGTGCTCATACCTTCTGCTTGCCAATATCCACCAGCTCCACGGAACCCCCAAGCATCTGGATGTCCGCAGCAGCTACTTCCATCATCCTTCTGATCTCTCCTCTCTTCTCGGGCCAGGCAGACACACTCTGGATGGCCACCCATTCTGCAAGTTTCTGTTTGTAGAGAGTAAGTGGAAAGGGCTTTGAAATGCTGCTCTTTGAGGGCGGGGATGGACCTTTACTTACAGCTACTCCACTTTCCATGCACAGCAGACCTAGCTTGCCTGCTCTACAGTTAGATTAAAAACCAACAAAACTGTACTGTTCCTACCCCCAACACTAAGCAGGAAGGAAAGATGCCAGAATGTGCATTTTTAACCACCAAGCATATGATTATAAGCCATACAATCCCAAAAGTAAGTTTATATCTATAGCCAACAACATTGCAACAGAAAGAAAACATACTTCAATGTCATGATCCAAGTTAGTTCACTTGTCTCCGTGGCAGCAGCCAAGATGTAAGTTTTGGAGGGAAAAGTCAAAATGTTTCATCTAAAGTGGTTCTTCCAAAAGTAAACTGAAGTCTTAATTCTTTCAGATAAAAACCAAGCTACAGTTTAAATATAATATCATGGAATCACTCAGAACAGGCTGCATTCAAGCTGTCTTTTTTTTTTTTTTTTTAAATCTGTAACTATCACAAGAAACTATAGATGAGATGAGAGAAAAATAACAAATGAGCATTATTTGTGGAGACAGATAATTAACTGTCAGATGACGAGAGCCTGCCTTTTTACCATCATGCAATGAAGAAACATAAAATTTTAATACTTGAAAAATCTCTCTGACTTGACAAGATTGAAGAGACAGCTCCTCACCTTGACATAGCGGTCCTGGTTTTCATCAATATACTGGAAGATGGCTTTGAGGGATGACATCTTTCAGGCAGACTTCAGACCTTGGAGATTATGAGCAGAGAGAGCAAGAGTCAGACCTGCTTGTAGCTGGGACTGAATGACAGTGGCCAGAGGAGCCAAGTGAGGATTGAAAGCATTTCTCCACCCTCCGGTCAGCATTGTGTTGCAACACTTATCACAGGACTCTCCAGGAAGTGACTGGGAACCAGCCAGGGGCTTAGAATGGTTTTCTGCTTCCTTGCTCTAAAAGGAAAGCTCCAGAAAATTTTGTGTTCAAAGAGGAGAGCCCCGGTGACTCACAATCTGAAGAAACAATCAGTGGGTATCTTCCAATCATACAGATTTATTGTTCATTTTATTTTTTTGAGGCAAGGTCACACAATAGCTGTCCTGAAAATTTCTGTGTAGACCAGGCAGTGTTCACACAGAAATTTACCTGCTTTCTGAATGCCAGGATTAAAGGTGTGTATCACCATGCCTAGCCGGCACTTAACTTTTTAAAATATTATACTTAAAAAAATTTTTTTGAGACGGGACCTCTTGTGGCCTGAACTAGCCTGAAACATCTGATCCTCTTCCCTCTACCTTCTGAAGGTTGGAATTACATGGCCAAACCACCAACCCTGATTTATGTAGTGCTAAGATCAAAGCCAGGATTTCCTGCAAGCTAGGCGAGCACTCCACCAAACCAGTTATAGTCCCAATTTTATACTCTTTTGTTTGTTTGTTTGTTTGTTTTTGTTTTTTGTTGTTGTTTTTCGAGACAGGGTTTCTCTGTGGCTTTGGAGGCTGTCCTGGAACTAGCCCTGGTAGGCTGGTCTCCAACTCACAGAGATCCACTTGCTTCTTCCTCCGGAGTGCTGAGATCAAAGGTGTGTGCCACCACCGCCCGACTATATACTCTTATCTTAAATAAAGCACAAGGTGAACTATTAATCTTCTATTGCTAGAGGAAATAATCATTTCAAAGATCTCAGTAAAAATGTCACAGGCTGAGCGTGGTGGCAGATGCCTTTAGTCCCAGAACAAGGGAGGTAGAGGTAGGTGGCTCTCTGAGAGCATGAGGCCAGCCTGTTGTATACATTGTGAATTCCATGCCAGCCAGGGATACATAGTGCAACCTGTCTCCAAAAGCAAGCAAGCAAATAAATAACACACCCTCCCACCCCATACATATACTCTGCCTCTTCAACTGCAAACCTACACCCAGCCTTAGGATCCAAAGAGCAGATGAATTCAGTTGAGAATAAGTGATAACCACAGACTGTACTAACCTCCTTAAGGGCCAAAGATGAGAAAGCTCCCACCTCACGGGAGGGTGGCCATATAGAGCAGTTGTGCGCTTGCTAGAAGGGATGTTCGGTGTTTTCATCACAAAGAAATGACCAACATCTGAGCAGCTGTATGTCCCAGTTTGTACACTATGTGGTGCATACATGTATGGATATATCTTAGGTTTCCCACAAATACATTCAGTGTCTGCACTTTCTGGGAACCACCCCCCCTGGATTGTTAAACAAAAAGGATCTCATGTCGCCTAGGTTGTCCTTGAACTTCTGATCCTCCTGTTCCACTTCCATATGCTAGAATAACAGGTGTGCACCACCACACCCAGTTTATGTGGTACTGAGGATGGAACCCAGAGATTCATCTATGCTTGACAAACACTCTACCAACTGAGCTACAACTCTAGCCTTCTGAGCACATGCTCCAACATTTACTTCTCATGCCCGAAACCACTGAACTCCTGCACTCTACAGTGCACTCTACAGGGAAACCGTGCTTTGTGGAACTGCTTTAAAATAGGACTCAGTGTGAAACACAAATGACTCAGGCACTGAGATTTGCAATTGATGTTTTCTCTCTTCAAGTGTCAAGACTATGACTTTATTAAGCACAGGTGACATGGAGCTCGGTTGTACTGAGAAAATTCATCTCGCAGTGACACCAAGTGACCTGGTATCGCTGCTGTTGCATGGTCTCAAGGGGTGCCACAGAAATGGCCACACACAGTGCATGATGAAGAGCACTGTTTGTTGGTACAGGATCCTGGGGCAGTGTCTAAACAGAGGAGAGAGTTGGTTTCCTGTAACACAAAGAGTGGCAGCTATGCAGCACAGTGAGCAATGTGCACTTCAAATAGTAAATACGATGGCTGCAAGGGTAGGACATCCAACTGCTAAGTCCTCAGTGCCCTCAGAATCTTTTCCTCCTCCTTAAAACCTAGCACAGTAGAAGAAATAATTTTAGACCTATGACTACCTCACACAGGCTCACCTAAAAGGGTGACTCCACAGATATTGCCCAGGTGTTTATCAGGGTTAAGTTCTACCCATCTGTCACGAACTATGCACAGGTAAGGTACCTGTTTGCCCGATGAAACCCTACCCTGCAGAACCATCTGCTACGCTGGAAACTTTTCACTGGGGCTCCTGTTCCTTACAATAATCCCAAACACCACAGTGCAGCACCACAGTCTCACAGTTAAGTTAACAATTTTGTTGCGAATGTTGTTAACACAAAGATGTAAGGACCTGAGGTAGGTATACCTTTCACCAAGGACAGTGAGGCTTCAACTACCCTACTGAGAGTTCCCAGGGCACATGAAAGCAAACGATGCCTTTAAACTGTCCCTCCCGGAGCAGCAGCAACTGAAGTCAGGCTCCACTTTGCCTCCCACTAGTTTCTGACGACTCCTGCCCTCTTCAGCTCCCTCAAAATCAAGGTCATCAATTGTGAACCATTTGGTAAATGGTTCGCTGGGTTGAGCAGAAGCAAACTTCCTGCCAAAAATGACAACAGCTTCACTATCTGTCAGTCTTAAGTTCTCCAGGAGCAGTACAAACAGGGTCCCCATGGCAGGGTCTTCACCTCATTACAGGGTGATGACAAGACTCTCTGGAGAATACTGGTGACCCCAGGTTCTCAGGGTTAGTACAGTGAATCAAGCATCTACTCCACTTTACAAATGAGTAAGCTGAAACTGGTGGAATGAACGAGCGGCCTGCTCGCACTAGCAAGCTGGCACCGGGAGACCTCCCTCCTGGGGATCCATCCTAAGGGTAAGGTCCAGCTGGACCCTGACCAGGGCCTTTGCACCCAAGGAGCGTCTGTAGCCAGGCAGCGTCCTCAAAGTACAGGCGAGAGGACTGTCCAGCCTTTGCTCCCTGCGACCCCCCTGCCCCACGTCGCCAGGCAGGCTGGCCTGGGCTCACAGCCCATCACAGCCCATCGGCCCTGCCGGGCGAACTAGGTGGTCCCGGGAACCTGACATTTATGGGGGGCGGGGAGATCGG